GCATTTTGTGATGCTGTAGAGTTAAACACGCTTGTCGTAAATACACCTTACACAGGATAATTCTATGTAGCGAAAAATTCCATGTAATTTGATTTTGCCCTTTTGAAATTCCTGGCATATTTATTGGCTACAGTATGTCCTATGCAGCCAATTATACTACATACATATTTTTTTTTAAGTAGTTTTTGCCGTGAAGTTAAAACGTTGTTTTCGTCACACAGGTCTGCATGTAGAGTTTGCAGATCTCGTATATGTAAGTACATCGTGTTTGGTTGTAGTACAACAGGAGGGAACGTCGGCTTTAGGTCGCTTGAAGCGTTGCGCTACTAATGCAAATTTGATTGAATTACGGCCTCAATGATGTGGAGAGTGATGTATGATGATTCTGTAACTCATCCTACAAATTTTAAGTAAACTGGACTCATTTATATTATTAAGATATTATTGAAACAATATAATTTTGATACAATTACAATTAGTAGTGTATGCAATAGATCATCTACATATACATAGATTGTGTTAATTAGATACACAATTACACATTAATATTGTATTTTAGCATTCCGTTGCATTGATGTATCACTTTGCACACTTCCGTCCTTTGTTTACAATTTCTCCTTAATTCAGAATAATATTAAAATTACCATTAAACTGCTACAGGTTTCGGGTTTACTTGGCCATTCTCAGGCAACCGTTCAGTTGTCGAAATTGCTACATTGCATTACTTCTTAAATTAAAATATTAGAATGTTATTGCATTTTTGTCGTTCACATTAAAATACGTTTGCCTGAGAACATAACCCCTTTTCTTGAGCCATTTCTCTCTTGCGGTTTCCGTGTTCTTATGTTGTTTTATTTAGCCCTATGAACATTGACGTGGTTGTGTTATCTCTATTTTTATGTGCCCCATTAGTACGTCTGTTTCCACTAGTCTAGTGTGTCACTCTTGTTATATACTATTAATTATATAGACGATTTATTTTAGCGACATATTTTGATATTACGTCATTCACTGGCTATCCATGTATTGAAGAAAGCAGTTTTCTGGGATTTGGCACCGTGTATCTGTGGTGTTAACCGACGTTTCGGAGGAACATATCGCCTCCATCTTCAGGGTAGAAGAAAAAATATATAAGAAATCTGCAAGCAACGTCGGTTAACACCACAGATACACGGTGCCAAATCCCAGAAGACTGCTTTCTTCATAGTCACCGCCATGAAAGCCTCAAATCTTACATATCCATGTATTGTTTGTAGCGTAACTGTATGTAGTTGTAGCCCGGACTGGAGATAGGGGCTAGCTCTGTCTATTGGACCCAACTGAGTAGGTTTTACCTGAAGACGGGGACAGAATCCAGTCTCCGAAACGTTGTGATTTTTAAAAGAAACAGGACGTTTTTTTAAAGAACAGAAAAGATGATGGATAATGTCCAATAACATATTAATTGTAACAATTTACCATCGTCACAAACTTTTAGATCTTAATTTATTGTAGCATTATTAGAATTATTATCTAATTAATCACTGAGGTAGTAAAATGCATTATCGAAAATTACTTTTACAACTTACCGAGTCCTCTGTTACCTTCAGAATATAGCTGCATACTTGATACTGTGCAGCACCCTTGAAACGTAACTGACTCCAAGTAGAGTTTATCAAGGAAGTTCGTAAAGGGTACTTAAAATTTTTATCAACATGCAAGTAATTCACCCAATATTTTATATTGTCTTCACGGAGAATTAATATTTCTGAATGTTCTTCCAGAAATTACGGTTCTTCTTCGGGAACCACCTGAGATACAGTATGATATAGGCTCGGCTCCAAATGCAACAAGACAATACATTTTGTATACTTCTTCCGTGCGAGCTCGACACCACACGAAGCTTCTCTAACCCGAACATAACTTCAGTGGAGTCAAGGAAATTTTCAAGCAAATCTTATAGAGAAAAACGAAACACATTTAAGCTTAACGCATTTGTTCGCAAGTCTTATGGGCTTCGAGATAATTCAACAAACGAATTCTTTTGTTGTGTTTTCTCGTAACTCGATAACAATTTAATTGATCTGATACGAATTTTTATTTTAGTTCCTTGCACAGTTCTGTTTGTCCATATCAGTCAGTCTGTCTCTCTCTCTCTGCTACTTAATATCAGCGATGAAGCGTTTGAACAATTTGTTGTTATTCTACATGGAACCCCTTCAATAAACGCTTTTGGGAAATTCCAATTTTACGCCATATTGACCTCCTATAAATTCGGTTTTACTTGAGGTAATAAAGCAAATATCCAATTATATTATTAACAGCTGATTGAACTTCATATGTATGCCGCAAGTAAGGGTGCGCACCGAAAAGAGTGTTACTGAAGTTTTGGTTACAGCATTATGAGTCCACCGTTTCCAATTCCCTATTCTAGCTTACTTACTTACTCACTCATGGAGCTGAGCCTTTCTTGAAGAGCCGCCAATTCTGCAGCTACTCAAGAATTTCCAAGCATTTTATGGAACCCAAAAGTTCATTACCGTGTTCACAAGAGCCCCCCACTAGTCCCTATCCTGAGCCAGATCAATCCAATCCATACCATCCCATCCTATCTTTCTAAGATCAATTTTAATATTGTTCACCAACCTACGCCTTGGTCTTCCCAGTGGTTTCTTTCCTTCTGGCTCTCTCACCAATATCTTATATGCATTCATCGTCTCCCACATTCGTGCTACATGCCTTGCCCACCTCATCCTCCTTGGCTTGATCATTCTAATTATACTTGGAGAAGAGTACACGTTATGAAGCTCCTCATTATGCAGTTTTCTCCAACCTCCTGTCACTTCACCTCCCTTTGGTCCAAATATTCTCAACACCCTGTTCTCAAACACCCTCAGTGTATGTTCCTCCCTTAATGTCAGAGACCAAGTTTCACGCCCATACAGAACCACAGGCAAAATTGTAGTGGGTAGCTATCGGTCGATATTGCGTTCTGGATTCCTTTCAGTGAAATATTAATGAAGATAAAATAGGCAAAAAAGAAGAAATAAAAATCTATCCCTATAACAGGCCATGAAAGTCCATAAGGTTTTGAGACGTCGAGGCTCCCATATTTTCCCTAGAAAATCGGCTCACAGATGGGGGTGAAGTCAGCCTTACGCGCCGGCCGCCCTTTACCCACCAGGAAGATTCCTGGTACACATTTCTGTTAGAGGCTGAGTTGACCACAAGGACATAGTGCGACTGGAAGGATTATGTAAATTGAAAAATCCAATGACCTCATCGGGAGTCGAACCCTCAACCTGCCGGTTTCTAGCATAGTGCCTCAACCAACTACAATACCACGTGCCCCGGATAAGGTAGGCATATATAATTAATAAGCACGGAAGGATTGAATACAAAATAATTACATAAATTACAAAAGTGAAGATGTTCCAGTATGTAAGTACTTCATTACGAAGAGGAATCGAGACGTGGGAGCAAAGCTCCGCTCAATCTCAGTCTCGCTGCTAAATGCAAGTGGTTCAGGTTGTGTCAAAAAGCAGGTTTTGTTGTGCTGTATCTTCGGATTATGCTGCCGTAATAGTAGACCTGATTACAATCGTTGTTGGCCCCTTGGATAACTGCACAAACGCTATATAAATAGGGAATTTTCTCATTCGAAAGTACCAAAATATCGATAATAATCATCGTCATGTTTGAAATATCCGAAGATGATGGATTGAACTTCAGATGTGATGTGCAATTTAATTTCTGCCTACTGAATTCTAAGGCAATCTACCTCATATATCATAGTAACGGAACATGAGGCACTGAGTATCACGACTACAGACGAGCCTACAACAGTAAAAATAAAATAACAAACTCGATACGAAATTCGTATCATTTCCTGTTTTCGCGTGCAGAAAAATGAAATATTCTTTTAGCTACACAAGACTAGAACAGGTCAGCGGAGCGGTAATGTTGTCGAATTCTGCTCCAATTTACCCATTTGTATTTTGGTAGGGATACCGTCTCTTCAGGCTCCGAGGTTCTACTTTCACTCAGTCTCTCCTTCCTGATGATGGGATAGTAGTCCATAGCTGACTGACTCCAAAATCCTTTTTTTCTATTTGACCATTCACAGTCACGTCGCTATTTCATCTGAATGCTTCCCCTGAACTTCTCAGTTGATACAAGGTATTATAACGACCAATCGTCACGTAAATATGAGCTGTACATGTTCTCTCCCATCCTCAGTTGTAGCATCAATTAACCTAGAGGAGGGGTACGGCGTGAGGGCACGGCACATACACAATTTCCTGGTGAACACACAGAAGATAGTAGCAGATTGAATCAAGAGAAAGTTTGCTACTGTTCATTTCGTATTCTTTTATCTTCGCGTCTCCCATTAAAGAACTTGTATATTAAAATAGTTTCGTAGAAGGTAGAATGTTTCCTGTTGTTTTATTTGAGTGACAGTCTTCTTGATTCTGAGGAAAGAACAGGGATATCTAAAAAAAAAAAAAGAGCTGAGAGGTAAATTTGGACCTAAGAAAGACAGAAAATATAGGAAGCTGAAAAATATTGTATAATGAGGGTTGTCATATTTGTGCTTTTCTCGAGGCAATACAGCTTTATAGACCTGGCCACTTTTCGCTTAGTGAGGGGTGGGTGCACTCGGCACGGCGGCCACTGTTTGGCCTATTGTAGCCTGCCCCGGGTGAGTATGATGATGGAGAATTTGGTGGAATGAAGATTGGCGGGGGAAACCGAAGTACTCGGAGAAAACCCGCCCCAACTCCACTTTGCCCATTACAAATCCCGGGATCGAACCGGGACCGCCGCGGTGGGAAGCCACCTACTAACAGCTTGAGCTATGGTGCTGCAGACCTGGCCACAAAGTCGAAGTGTGTGATGGGCATTCCATTGAGGCTTTCTTACTTAATTATTTACCGTAATTAGGGCAATCAGTGGTGAAATTGGTGGAATATGTGAGAGGCACGGGGAATATGATAACCACGACTGAAACTTTATTTCAGGATCGTGAAGAAAAGAAACCACTTTGGAGGCAAGGTGTAGATGACAAGATAATACGAATATTACAGAATGTGATAAAGAACTGGGATATGTGAAGATTGGATTTATCGCCCACAGAATAGGACTTCTGTGAACAAGGTAAAGGATCATTTAATTTGTTGACACGAGGTGAAGGATTTTTCTGCATAGCTACTTAAAGAATGAAGGAAATGTTGTTAGTGCTTGCGAGATATTTGTTTCACATTTATACAGGTCTGTGTATCGTTCTGGGAGGAATATCGAGTGTCAGAAGAAGTAACACTGTGTTGTGTATCGATAGAAATAATATGTTTCAGGTAACGGCTAATTGGATAGCTCTTCATGAAGCAAATACTCGTTCCACTGGGATTTAAAGCAGAATTTTTCAATAAATATATCTTGAAGTGAATTCAAGTGTTCCGATAAAGTATTTCTATGCATCTGATTTCCATATACAACATCGAGGAAGATCATATTCATTGTTCTCGGATTTCAAATCATTTCGTCTGGAACATCGAACTGAAACGTGAGTTTCTAAATTGCAGAAACAGAAGATTCGCTTGACGATCATTGGTTTTTAACACATGATAAAACCAAATTGATTAATTTACTAATTTATTGAATTCGGGTAATGCTTGCTATCATTCAGTCCAGAACACTTTGTCTTCTCTTCTTCTGACTAAAACCATAAAACTTAGAATATACAGAGCTATAATTTTTTCTGTGATTCTGTATGGGTGTGAAACTTGGTCTCTGACATTAAGGGAAGAACATAGACTGAGGGTGTTTGAGAACAGGGTGCTGAGGAGAATATTTGACCGAAGAGAGATGAAGTGAGGGAAGGTTGGAACGAACTTCAGCTTACAGCTATTAACACGTTCGAACCTCTGCGACACGGAATCAATGGGCAATAGTAGACACGAAATAAAGAACCAACTACCACCCCCAATTTTTGCCCCAAGAATGTCAAACATGCAGTGACTAACATCTACAACTGAAAAGTAGTTAACAGACTAAATTCGCTCACTCATGGAGCTGGGACCTTCTTGAGAAGCTGCCAATTCTGCAGCTACTCAAGAACGTCCAAGCATTTTATGGAACCCGAAGGTTCATTACCGTGTTCACAAGAGCCCTCCATTGGTCCCTATCCTGAGCCAGATCAATTCAATTAATATTATCCCATCCTATCTCTCTAAGATCCATTTTAATATTGTCCACCCACTTATGCCTTAGACTTCCCAGTGGTCTCTTTCCTTCTGGCTTTCCCACCAATATCCTGTACGCATTCCTTGTCTCCCCTATTCGTGCTACATCACCTGCCCACCTCATCCTCCTTGACTTGATCATTCTATTTATAGTTGGAGAAGTTTCCCGCCCAAGTAGTTTCCAATGCTTCCGGTAGATGGGGAAGTTATCGGGTACCACAGCCAGCCTCGCTGGCTGAACGGGGCTGATAGCGAGCACCAGTATCCGCAGGATATGGCGACTGGTAGAATATCGAAGGGGGACGCACAATAGACTATTAGTCGCGGTGCATGGGGAAACCCACCCCTCCAACAATAATAATAAATAACAATATAGTTGGAGAAGGTACAAGTTACAAAGCTCCTCATTAACCTCTATCATTGAATTTGTTCTAAGGACGACCGAGTACTTTTGGCGCCGTTACTAACAAACGGACAGACATAGAAGCGAAGCGCACTTTTCGAATCAATTTTCGAAGCGCACCTGAATCGAAGCTTCGTAAGAAGATACATTTTTCGAGCTCTTGCTTCATGTATTTACTGTTCACATAAATTACTTATAATTCTGCATGCGGAAGTAGACCTAAGTGTCTGCGCCTTATTCGGTTCGAGATATTTTGTCTGAATGTAGTATTACTTACTTACTCATGGAGCTAGTCTAGAGGTAACGTTCCCACCTCATGACTCGTGGTACGCGGGTTCAGATACCCGGTGGAGGTCGTCGAACTTTTAAGGGCGGAAAAATTCAGGGAACAAGTCCTCCGGGAGGGACTTTAAGCTGTGTGTCCCGTGTCGTAACTTTACGGCACGTAAAAGAACCTCATATCCCCAAAGGGGATCACTGAGCCAAATTCCAGGACGTTTCCCGCCC